TGGCGCCTGGTAAGCTTGACCAGGAGCAGCGCCGCCTTCGACGTTTCTGAAGTACGCATCCCACGATGCATGAACAGACTTTGGATCCGCTTTCCAAGCCGAGTACATCTGAAAGAGGAATAGTCAGTTAAATCGAGATGGTGGCCAGTAGCAAGACGTTCGGTCGTAAATGTATTAAGAGCATACTTGTTCGATGTACGTGGATGAAGTGGCATTCATGAATGGCTCCGAACTGACCGCAGAAGCCAGAGACTGTTGCCGAACCTTAAAAAGTTACGAATTAATATTTGGCTCGATGGATTCAATGGCATACCCAACAACAAGGTAAATGAATCAGTGCACTCTGTTGTGATTTCTAACTAAAGGTCGGTGCCATTTTCGGAGGTCACAGTTGCGAAACTTGAGCGCCAGAGGTCAGTCTCACACTGGACTCCGCCCATCTCCAATTAACCACAGGTTTGCGGGGGGGGGGGGTGCGCCTCTAGACCGACCGCTGCAATATTAGCAAGACAGGCTTACGGTCAATTCTTATAAAATAAGAAGCAACAGTGACCCCATTACTAAAATGAGCCCCAACAGGAAACAGGTGATATCGGAACATTTGATCAAATCAAAAGAAAACTCGTCCAAAAACCAACTCTTTCACGTCCTCTTCGCCTCTTGTGTGTCCTCTAACCTCTCTACTGGCAATTTCATAAACATCTATTTTTATCGAGTAAGCAACTTAAAGGAGGAATTCACGATTAGAATGAAGGTCGAAGAAGGAGTAATTCACCTAGTTGAGGGACCCGCGGACCTCCTGAGGGTGCGAACTGACGCGCAATTGGCACCGAAAAATTTGACCTCGGCGACCTATATGGCTCAATCTTGGCGCGGTTGGCCAGTGCACGCCCACCGATCATCTGATCACTCGCCGCAGGTCTATACGTGGCGAGTGATTAGATAGGTGAGAGAGCGTAGTGTTGAAGAGGGCACAGCGATGAGAGTCGCATCAATGCTCAAATCAACGGGCAAGGAAGGGGTCCCATTTCTCGGGTTCTGGGCCGTTTCTCATGGTTTTCCTTCTTTCGTGTACCACTCACCATCCCTACTTAATTTGAAATGGGTTGCTTTTTCATCGTGAATTCGTCCTTTAAACTGTTCCAACTACCAAGGTAAATGGCGCCCAATTGCATCTTGAATGTATTGTGACTGTTGTAAATAGCACTCTTTGAGACTGTTTTGAAGTTAATCGTTCTTATGCATGCCTTTCTTCAGAATTATGCTGCAGCCAGTGCCTTTATGAGACTCATGTCTGTAGACAATGTCCCATCAGACTAGTTTATAAACACTGAAGCGGGAACATAGCCCGCACATAATGTCCATTTTCATCGAAGGCTTCTGCCAACGATCAAAGAACCCATCAATTCCACTGCCATAGAAGCGTGCTTAGCTGGCTTTTGAAACCTTCGGCAAAATACGCTTGGACATGTCTCGATTATCGAATCCTTATCCCTGATATGATATTGAGGAGGGCAAAAAACGTGATCCTCCGCAGGAACAAGGTCTGGACTATAAACAGAATGCATAGGAACCTCGATACAGAGCTCGTAAATCTTGGGAAGTGTCACTTTGCCGTACGGAGCCGGGCGTTGTATATGGCAAGAGCATTCGATCGTCCTAGGAACGTTTGTTACCTAATCGTTCACTATCGTGAAACTGTTCGACCGTACCGTCGGCACGGACTGTACGGTAATCTCGAAGGAGATTCCAGTGCACGACTTTGGACCGAGAGCGTACCTTTTCCGTGCAATTAATCTTTTCAGACTTGTTCTAGTCTTCTGTCTCATGAGACTTATTGAGGCTTCGTGCTGTGACTTACATAAAGCACCCACTTCTTGCCTTCGATGACGAGGTCCTTCACCTGGCGGTGTTCCATCACACAGACTTATGGATAGTTGGAAACTTTCATGTCCATGGCTCAAGATCAATTTCTTGTCATCATTCAAGACCGAAATGTGCAAGCACCTCACAAGGGTTTTCACTTGTCGTAGCAACTTATCAAATGATTCATCTAAAATGAGCCGATTGCTTTGCATTAAAGGCGGATTTTACGATGAAGAGGTATCTTATTGGAAATAATGGTAGGGTACCGCCGGGTGCATATCGTTGAGTACTAATTGAGTGTTGGTCTGCACGGTCTCTCCACTAGGTAAGTTTCCCTTTCTTCGACCATCCGTTCTTATCGTAGAATGTTCCTTTAGAGGGAGAAAGGGTTATGGCCTCGACTGTTTTCATCGAACGAATCGTAGATATGTTCCTTGAATCATGAACCAACGACATTGTAA